GAATCCACAATGGATATGATTAAAAAGGCCCTCTCAGTTCCACGGGACGGAAAAAGTCAAATATAAAATAGAAATATCCTCAAATAAATGTATCAGCGTGTAAAATAATATAAATGATTGGTGTCGTAACCATAATTTCACTTAAATTATTCAATAAAATTATAATTTTAAAAATTAATCGCTATTGCATATATTATATTATTATTACGCTAAAATTCTATCTTTTATGAATTTTATGCATGTGATTTGCTTATCAATTAAACTGATTTCTAGGAATATTATATAGAAAATTTAGGTTTACTCAAATTAAGGCCAATTTATAGAATGTTACGGACCGGAAATTCTCCAATTTTGATTCTTATTTAATAATTTAAAATGAATCAATTTAAATGCGATCCGGTCTTCACACATTTCATAAGCAATTATCAGTATAATAATGTAAGTAATCTGATGTGTTAACCATCCAGGTATTGTTATCCCGTCTTTTTATATAAAGATAAAAAGAGACACTTCATAAGAGTATTTATTATCTGATTTTTCCCTGAATCTATCTCAAGTGGAGAAAATAAAAATCATCCTTTTTTATCTCCACTTAATGTTCTAATATGACAAAAGTGAAAGTAATATTAAATTAAAATAAATTTTTATTGCATTCTTACACTTTCCAATTTTGTATTAAAAAGGTTAAATGTTTCTAGTAACTAAATGCTATTAATTAATAATGTGCTTAAACTTTTAATTAAGTAGTTTATAATAAAATTTAAAAATAGAAAATTTTAGATTTTTTTTTTTCTTTTTCTTCAAGAAAAATAAGCAATTTAATTTCATTTGTATTTTGTATATTTTTGATTATATTAATTAATTTATTTATTTAATAATTTAATTTTTAATTACAGTAATTAAATTATAATCTAAAATGGCAATATTTGTCTTAGATAATTCTAATGATTTCAGTGTTTGAATGAATCTGTTAAATTTTAAATGAAATAAAAATGAATTTATTTAAAAACAGAATTTCTTTTATTTTTATTTTACATTTAATATTCAAACTAAGAATATCTTCTTATGTCATATGTATATGTGTGTGTGTGTGTTTAATATGTTAAGTTGATTGTTAAATTTTTAATTCATTACAGGGCGAATTAGACTTATAAGTATTCATAAACAATAAACACAAGAATAACAGATTTTAGCAAAATTAAGTTATAATTATGATAATAACTATCGACAAAGCTCATAAAATTTCGAAAGTAAAAACATTAGTACAAACATCGATCCACATAAGAAGATACTCGTCAATCATTAGATAAGTTACGTGAAGGAAACGGAGAAAAAGAATCGAATGAAGAATAGACAAAATACATTTCACATTTTTTTTCTTATCTGATTAAAACTTGAATTCGGTTACTTAACTAATTTTCATCTACTGTTTAGCTTCTTAAAAAAAATACAAAAATTGATAAAATTACACAAAGGATATAAATTTCTTAGTAAACGTTCTTTTTACTTTTATAGTATAATTTTGTTCAAATTTAAATTAATTTAGATAATATAAAGTGGGTCGGTATTGAGATTTTTATCTTTATATAAAAGTTCTTTTCCCCTGACCTTATATCCTTAATATCTATTTTTAGACTTTTTGATACTTATTTAATCGGAATTCTTCACTCATTCGGAACTTTGATAAATCAAATTTTTTCTTAGTAATACAAAGATAACATCTATAAAATTTCCATTAAAAATCTTACTTCAACCTTTAAAACGCGTGTGAAATATTCCGCTCGATTTTCATTAAATTTATAAATAAAATATGAAAAAAATAACCGAGGAATAACAAATTAATTGATTACCGACAGCCTGTTAATAAAATATGTATATTTTTTGGATATTAAGTGATATATTCTCACATTGCATAACGTATTATAAAAATAAACAAAATCAAAATGTCTAAAGTAATCTGTTCGCTAAAATGGCTTCATGCATTATATCCAAATTCAAATTTTTTCAACAACGTCAAATATGTCAGCTGAATTTGACGGTATGCATATCATATCTCCAAACTACAAAGAAAATCTATTTAAATATCTTATTTAAGTCATAAATAATTTAATTAGAAGAAAAATGTTATTTTTTTATGACCAAATTGATCGATTGTCATTTATAAAAATTCAAAAATTGCAAAATATATATTGAAAATTGACGAAAGAAAGAAAATGATTATAAGCCGGAAATTGTCAAACGTTTATTCAAGTACGTTCAATTGACGACAATATAAGCGAATAATTATAAATGGACAAAAATTTTTACACAACTTAAAAATATCCTTCAAATTTTTAAAATCGAATTTTCTTTGGAGTATTTGCATTTTTCTTCTATCGATGTTTCAAAAGAGGTTTGCAATTCGACAATATTGCCTGGGGAGATCACACGGGGCGATTGCTGCTGACAACGGAGAGCCCTTCAGCGCTGTTTAATCATCGTTTATGTTTAACCGAGGCTTATCAAGAGCAGCGAGCGATTATTCGAAAGAAGCACTTCTCACAATGGAAAAGAAACTTAACACGAGCATTGAATAGCCAAGAGATTTAGTAAATTAGAAAAAGGGAAAAAATATATATACATACAGGAAAACTTCTTACTTCTTTGTCTTGGTATTTCATATCCAGATGCCAATGTTTTGGAAAATTCTCTTAATAATTGTTTCGATAATTTTGTTTTACCTGTTTGCAAAAAAATAAAAAAAAATCCACAAGTGGACTCGGAAATAAAGAAACGAAAACAAATAAATACGGCGTGAAATTAAATCTCTTGTTTACACGAACGTATCGAAATTGTTTAAAGGAGTTAAAAAGTAAAAGATAGAAATGCAAGCCGTGCGTCAATCTTCTGTTAAGAATCGTTTAGAAGAAAGTTGGAGGAAATTTCTTTTAACGAAAAGTGCATTCCTATAATGCTCTCCAATAAGACATTTCGAGAGAAAACAGAACCACAGAAATTCCAACACCTGTTGATATAATACTCTACAGAATTTATGCTACAAAAAGTATATTTTTCTTCTTCTTTTTTACGTATAAATAAACATTATAATTTTTTGGAATAAATTTATCACGTTTAACGTTACGAAACAATTTGTTTAAGTCGAAATATAATAAACAGAGCAATAAAAGATCGTTTAACGTCAGCTTAAATATAGTTTACATTCATTCTTCCTATATTAAATTTTCTTTAAATATTTTATTAATAAAAATGAAAACTGAGTGTAAAGAAATTTCTACGATAAATAATAATTATAATTCATTATGACCTTGCGATGTTTATAAAATAAATGACCGAAAACAAGAGGAAAATTAACGTAAACGCATAAACAATTCATCAGACTTTCATAATTTATTCATGAAACATTTTGATTATGATTATAATTTAAAGATGAAATAATTATAATCTATCGTTTGTAAATATATAAATTGAAATTTTAATGTTACATAATAGAAATGAACTTACTTGAATAAAATAATTTTTCGCAACCTGTTCTGGAATCCCTTCAACTCTTGTTGACGGTTAAAAGGTTTAGGGTGAAACTTGTTCTTCCTTTATAGCTGAGGCGAGATGACATCATTTATGGTGTCATCCAATAGCAGGAACCGTGTCACATTTTCAGGATGCTCGATATAAAACCGAGAAAACGACCAATCAGAAATTGTTTTCGATGCGTAAATCGTCACGTCATCCGATAACGTAGTAAAAAATTAAGCAGATATTTTTCTAAGAATAAATGCGAAACGTCTTTTGTGTTATCGTAAAAACATCCGATAGAAAAGAATAGAAACTAATTTACGTATATTAATAATTACTAAACGAGGTTATGCCTACATACTTTTTCCAAAGTATTAATTAATAATACATAAGAACTTTCGATCATTTTTCCTAAAGGATATAGTAACTAACAGCAACGCCTACCACAGCCCAACCGTAATTGTGTGGAAGGAAAATGTAGACTTTATCACCCGTCAGTGTGTAATTAATATAACAGTTGCATTAAAAGTTAATAATAAAAATAAAACTTTATGAATTTTAAAATCGTTAAGTAATCGAAACTAACGTTAACAACTAATTATAAATCTAAAACTTTATTCTCTTCTCTCCCTGCTGTGAAAAATCTTTCTTCGAAAATGTAATCCGTTCTAATGTACTTAACCTTAAATTTTTGTAAATGAATTCTACTTATGGCATTTTAATAAATTAATTTTTGAAAATTTAATTTAAAAAAAAATACTCATAGAAGTATTTAATTATTTGTCTAATTTAATATTAAAAATTAACATCCAAATTCTAATTTGTTATTAGATAATAAACATATATTTAGTAATGTTTACTAGAGTTTAATTAACTCGAGATATCCGGAAGTCTTGTTTCTCCAATTGTAATTATTTATAACATTAATTTTCTTTAATTGTTACTGATTATTCTCAAATATTCTAAAGCTATTAAGGTTAATGTATAACTTTTCATCTCCCTGAATTACAATCAACGTTTTACCTATTTCGTATTTACCTAATTAATAGTTTAGGCCTACATAGATAAGCGTAAATTATTTAAAAAGTTATTATAAAAGTTGATCTTTGTTATTAATTAACCAATCTTTATCAAGATTAAGCCAATTTATATAACGCTAGCCTATAAAGAGTTAAGCTCGGTTTTAACGTAGGAGTTGCGAATTTGTTCTTTGCCCTTATTGCATTTAAAAATAACGATTAAATTATAGACAATGACACATTTTACCCTTAATATTAATATTTACTTCACGATATGACAATTCTTAAGTAAATACATCGATTTTTTTTTTAACTCGTTGTAGAGATTTATTAACTAAATAATTGTACAGTTTTGTATTTCCGCTAAAGAGATAACGAGATCTTAAATAATTTTTATTTTATTCCGCGTGTAAATAACCTGTTTATAATAAGAGATAATAATTTCATAAAGATAAATTGACTGATAAAGTATAATCCAGTGATGTACTCGCACTTACGCTCAGAACAGAGTTAAGTTTATCGCCAACGAAGGTGGCGGGAGGTTGAGGTAAGACAATAATTAATACACATATAAATATATGTTCGATATTTTATCCCGATAGCCTATTGATTTGTATGCTTTGTAACTGCGCTTCTGTTTCTCGCTTATTTATTAATTTAAACCGTTACCCTAAATTGTCATTATCGACATAATCAATTCTCCCGGTATTTCCAATGGTAAATTAATAACTAATTTGGTATCGCAATTTTACAGCTTTGTTTTAAGCTTGATTCGTCGACAATCTTAAATTTAAATTTTAAAATTTTAGTGATAAAATTACATAAAAATTTTAATGCTTTTAATTCATCTAATTTGCATAAATGTTGTTATATATTTAAAATATATTTCAATTGGTTACTTCAGTTAAAATAGTGATTTAATATGATCTTTTTAAGGAAAATCTGAATAATTTTTTTAAATATCTGCAAATAGAAATGATTATTATTATTTGTTATAAAAGACTTTTATCAAATTTTAAAAAATCACAGCAAAAATGTATAAACACTTACTGTTTATCTTATCGAAATAATATTTAAAAAAAAAAAAAGAAACAACTTACCGATGAACATTTATACTTAAGCATAATGTTAAGCTATTTATTATCTATTACGTATTATAAAAGTAGTTAAATACAGAAAACTAATTTTAGAAAGCGTGTTTTCATTAATAATATATTCTAATATTAAATCTGGAATAAACATGTTGAAAACTAGATGAAAACTTTTACTAATTTAAAATGCAAGAAATCATCATTTTAATTTGTGAATTTAATTTCTAGGAAAAATTTGCTGCTTTCAATTAATACGTTTTATTCCTTTAGTTTTATTATAAATTCTCTTTGTATTTTAATAACTAAATGTTTATACTTTTGTATATAGTTTTCTGTTTACATTATATTTTACAATTTAATTTAAATAATTCATTTTTGTATCATTCTCTCTTACTTTTTAAATAATAAATGATTATAATATTAAATTTCTGTTAACAGATAATTTGTTCTTATTTTAATAATTTACATTAATAATTTAAACTGATAAATTTTTGTTTAAATGGATTACAATGTGCTAAATGTTTAATTTTTATATATAGTATCAGTGTTTTAAAAACAAATTAATTAATTTATTCTTGCACCGATTAAAATAATAAATAAAAAAATCATTTGTTTATTATTAAAATATTAATAGAATCTAATTTTCGCTTATGCTATATAATAAAAGCTTTGAAAGATATAAATGTCCGTTTTAGCATTAAAAAAAATAAGATACAACACAGTAAGAAATTTGCGTTTAACACCTGTAAACTATATTAGGCCTATATAAGACAACTAAAATTTAAAGATATATTTACAATAATACATTAAAAATTAATTTAATAATTAAATCAAATTAATTAGTTAATTAAAAATAATAAATTATTATAATTATTTATTAATTAAATTAATCATTTTGAAAATATTTGAACTTAATTATTGATAATAACTCGTATGATTTTTGTCATAGCAAACAGTTCCGTAATGTTTTTCTTTACTCTGAGAAATTTATAAATAACGCTTAAATATTTATATAAATTTTATATTATTTTTTAAAGAAATTCCTTTATTACTTTCCTGACTGTTATATATATATATATATATATATATATATAAAACAGAGGAAAAGTATGGCGATCGGTCAAAAATTATTCCTCAAGATTTTGACATTTTTGGACTCAGGACACCTTTAAAACGTCGAGAAATGCAAAAAATTAGGAAGTAATTTCTGTATGTATGGATGTTAGTTTATGTGTGGATGTGAAAGGGTGTATGTGTGTGGAGCACGATTTTGTTCACCCTGTTTGAAGCTTAATAACTTTTGTGCTTTTTATCGAAAATTTATGAAAGTTTGCAGGGAGGTTTGCTTATTAAAGGGATTCGTGCTATTAAATTTTGGTAGTTAAAGGTCGAGAGGGTGGAGAGATAGTGGGGGTCGTGTGTATCTCCAGTAGGCTCGGACTTAATGATGATTTTAGTCATTATTAGCATTTAAAATTTTTTATAAAACTCATCTGTACCCTCAAAATTAAGCTTTCTACCATTTTATAATAGTTAAAAATATAACAAGTTTTTAAAATAAAATATGATAACAGATGGCGCCACTAAAAATTTAACTGTTGCCGGGAAAGTTGAGTAACCCGTTGTTGGTTTATTTTTTAAAATTATTTAATTTTTAAATCATTGATGATGGTATATTTTTACAACATATTCATACATTGAATGAAATCTTCTGATTATAATTACATTTTATGATTAGCATATAATTAATTTACATATATCAAAATTAATTATATTCTAATCATGAAATTAAATTCTCATAAAACCATACGTAGGCCTTTTTATTATCATTAATTCTTAGAAAATACACTAATTGATCCTGATGATAATTTCTCAGAATCAAGAGTTTTACTGATTTTCCTAAAATAGAAATTCGTTACTTCCTAGTCTTATTTAATTAGCAGAAGTTGTATTTTTAAGTAACTAACAGATCATTTATTAATATTGCTTCAAAAAAGTTTAATTTAATTTAAAATAAATATTGTTTATAGAAAATGTTTTAAAAACAAGTGTAGACTTAAATTGAATATTAAAAAATTTATATACTTTTTCATATCAACAGGCTGTTTAATTTCATATAATACTTTATATTTTTTGTTGTTTTATATGATCTTCAAAATAGAATTCAAAATACCACTGTTAAAAATTAAAATATATTTTTTATATAAAACATTGAAATATTTTCTGTCCATACCAAATTTCAAATCATCTCACTCTTCTTCATAAACTTTTTTTAAATGTATCTATCCATTATATGAATATAAGATTGATTAATTATTCGTGGCATTCTTCTTTTTCTATTTTAATTTTTTCCGCCCTGTGGACACTAAGAGGACTTTGTCTATACCCGTTATAAGTTCAGCCAAACTCGTGCCCATCAGTGACCCAGTGGATGAAACACTGAACACTGGTTTTTGCGCCTCGCCAATGGGTTAACCACGTAGTTTTCCGGGTTTTCTTCACATGTCTGATCTAAATAGGGCAATTTTCCATAGAAAGTCCTGGTCATCCCGATGAAAACCACCTTTTGGAAGGAATGCACTACAAAGTTTTCAACCGGGCTTTCTAGAGTGTCACAATGACACTTCAGCGATGTGGAGCAGTGTTATAACACACGTATATTATTAAAAGCGCAATAAGTGAACATTGATAAAGAAGTAGGGGTGCCACAAGAAAAAACATTTACCAAGTTTGGGATAAAACTATTACAAAATGGTTGAAAAACACTACTTTATTCCATCAATGCTATCGGCTAGACTGGCAGTGGAGCAAGCGGGTAGTAAGCCTAAAGGACCGAGGCCCTACATATTCAGGACTTACTGCCCTTACAAGTTCTTAAGATGGTTCGCCCGACTTCGATACTGGGTCCTATGCCTTAACTGCCATGGCCATCCGGTTTGTTTGTGATATCTGTTAATAATTTGTGGCATGCAAAACAGCTTTAAAAATAATGCCTTGCAATTGTTTATACCACGTTCAGTTAAACTTTGTAAAAATTTATTCATGTTCGATCATTTTAAACCAAGACACGTTCAGTTTCCTATACGTAATGATAATTTAAGTAATTTTCCGATTATATCAATTTACATTAAAAAAAATAATTATATTTAATTGTAATTATTAAACAACTTCCTATATCGTTTTATTTATTGGTCACACGTCTCACTTAATTAATAGTTATAATACTAAAGTATTGGAATGGTTTTAAAATCAAATTATTTAGAGTATGAAAGATATAATATTACATCTGCGCTTTTATTTAGTTTATTATTCGTATCTTCAGAAGTATTCTAGATACGCCGATAAAAAATAGTCCAATTGATAAAATAAAAAGCAATAAATTTTTATACAGTTGATTTTCACATGAATTAAGTTGACTAAACTTTCAATATAAGACATGGCCATGTCATTTAAAGAGAGAAAATTCAAGCCTACCTTAAAGAAATTTTTTATTCGAGTTTGTCTCGTTTATGATACTTTGATTACAGATTACAAATTCTAAAACAAGCATCCATCAATAATATAAAATATTAAATTAATATCTGGATATCAAAATCATTGTTGATTTTATAATAGTATTTAAATCAAGTTCACTTATTTAGCTATTTTTTAACGTAGGACTATACAGAATAAGAATTGTAAAAACATTTTGTAAGAATTTCTACTAAAACATTTAATTATTTCATATTATCTTTAAATACGTCTATAAAGTTAAGAGTAAATATTATTTAAAAATTGTTATCCACGGGTTTCGCTCGGATTCAACTCATTTTAAAACATTTGGAATTTTTATTACAAATGATAAATCTAATTTATTTTCCATAATATTTCTTGGTTTTGAATTTGTGAACATTTTTAAATAGAAAACTGCTGACTTTCTTCTTTATATATATATATATATATATATATATATATATATAAGNGCCTCTTCGTTTGAGCGAAAAATGGTCTTAAGATATATCAATACCTACTCATTTATCGAAAATTTCCTTGATTAAAATTCAAAAATTCTGAATTTTAAACAAATCAGTAATTAATTAATTATCATCAGAATAATATACAGGGTTTTCCGTAAATTATAGAATAATCAACACAATTCGTAAATGAATTATCTTTTATTTTTAATTAATTTTTAAATGCAAGCAAGGAAAATAAACTTTTGTTTTTTTTTTTTTTTTTAAGGAAATTCTTCCAATTCAAATTATCTTTGTCATTCTAATGAGTTGAATGTTCTTGAATTAAATTGTTTAATTTTTTGTATTTAAAACATTTTTTAAATTATTTAAAAAATTATTTATTATTTTATTTGAATAAATATAGAAATGAATTCAATATGTCTGATCTCCTGTTTATAAAAAAAAATTATATCTATTTGGATATTTAGAACTTCCTATATCTGCATAATTTAATATAAAAT